ATATCTTGAATGTGCCATTCTTTTTAAATTTCATGTCAGGGATAGTTTGCGTAGCTGCTTTGTTATAACAGAGGTTTTATAAAAGATTAAACTCTTTTGTAATGCTCAGACTCCCAGTTTCCAACCTGTTTGTCTCAGTGATGGATCTATACAAATATCAAACCATACAAATATGGGTTTTTCTTTTTTTAAAACAGCATAGACTGAATTTGTTTATAGTACCAGTGGATCAAATGTCTATGCATGATATGAAATAGACTCTTGTTGATGACCCCACAGAGATTGAGCTCTACAGAGCATTTTACTGTCTTTCAGCTCAGTGTTTTGGTTTAGTGGCCTGCAGCTCTGTTTTAGTTCAATCTCACTGTCATTGTCAAACCATCTCAGCAGGAAGCTGTTTTCAGTGGAAAAGCTCTGATTACCTCACTGTAGACTCAGCCACAGATTTATATTCATCAGGTGGCCAGAAATACAAGGTCATAATATATCAGCATTGTGTTTACTTCATCCACTGCACCCTCATAAAATATCAGTCATTGCTGCTTTGATCCTGCAATCAATCAATCCTGCATTTTTGGCCAGTTGTGAGAAGCGGAAAAAAGCTGTAAATACAATATTATCACCTTCTTTATTTAGTTTATATAACAGACCTGTTAAACAGTTGCCTATTTACACATCTAGTAATTGTGGACCAACTTTCTTCCATCATTCTTTCTCTTTTCTTTCTTTTTGTTCTGTTTTTGGTGTCAACTCTTACAGGAAATCTTTGCCTCTTTAGCTGCTAAAGCCAGAGTAGTGACAGTGAACCGAAACAGTAAAGTTGTTTGCTGAAAAACCAAAATGATTTACTGAAAGTTTCTATAAAGGTCTATAAAGAACTGAAGAGAATCTGAATTTTAGAAAATGTGCATAAATCGATCCCCAAGACATCTAGAATGTTTCTACTGAAGGTAAAAGTCATATAAAGGCTGCATTTTAACCTAACAGCAGCCGCTTAAGTGTCAAAAGGTCAAATTATATTCACATCTTGGGAGAAAAGTTGAGACCATTAAAGATGCAAATATAGAGGTCAAAAACAAGTCTATTTTATCCAATTTATTACAAAAAGAGCACATACAAAAGGATAATATACAAGCCATGAAATAAAATTAAAATTAAAAAACAAAACAGAACAGTTTGGGTTTAGCAATGCAACTTTTGAAATCATTATCATTATTATTAGTAGTAATAATAAATAAAGTACAAAATTCCACCAAATGTGAATCTAACATTTACCCATAATATGCTCATCCATTTCTTCATCAACACACTCATCACCATTAATGCGCTATTGCTTTAATATTAATGATAAATAGTTCTATTTTCAGATAAAATATCCTATATTGAAAAACATTGCGCAGTCACAGCTAAACAGCAGATTTTCATACAAGGATGGCGGCAGCCCTTTCACTGGCACTTTTTGGGATTTTCTCTTCAGTTTTGTTTTTCAGATTCAAGCAGCAACAAAATTAATATTTTTTTTCTGTTATATTCTTTGTATATATTTTCACCATATACTATTAAACCATTGAGACTATATTGAAACCTGAGAAAACATGCATTTTTAGAAAAGGTTGTGCTTTAAAATCCTTGCCTTCCTTTTAGACTGTGAAAGGAAACAGAGGATAGATTCTGAGAGGAGGGATGGACGGTAAAATAAAAAAAAAAAGCAGTGGAGAGAATAGGAGATAGAAGATGAACAGAATAGAGACATGAAGTAAAGGAAGATGACTGTAATATTTGTAAAGCCCACAGTGAAACATGCCTCTTTGTAGTCAGAACTATTTCCACAGTATGTGATGCTTCAGTCTTACAAACCGACAGCTCTTTTGGACAGTTTGACTTGAATTTTTGAGGAAAATGGCTTTTGTAGACACCTGTCAAATGTTGTCTTAGCACTTTCATGACCCATCCTTTTAATTAATTATGCAACCAATAAGGCATGGTGGCTTCATGGATTGATTGTTACGTATTAATGGTGTCAGTAATATGGAAATATCTCCTAACACTTAAAGCGAGGCACTTGTTATGCTTAAGTCTACAAACTATTCTGGAAAAAGAACTGAAGAGAAACACCAGAGAGATGAAACGTAAATGATAGATACAAAGAGTTAAAGCGAAGGAACATGCTTCACGGATGATCATTATTAAGACCCATAGTGCATTGTGAGAAGCAGAGCATAAAAAAACAAAAGCCAGAGTTTGTAGTGATAATATTAAATAATCTAAACTACCATTTTTTTTGCCAGTGAGAGGGTTCCCATATTTTAACAAGTGAGTGCAAAACAAAAAAAAAGAAAGAAATCACAAACTAAAACCAATTCACTTCATTGCAGTTTGTCCACTACATCACAGCATGGGGGATCAGAGAAATTGCATTGAATGGAATGTAACCAAGATCCACAGCACCACATGAGATAGATTGAGAGAGAGAGAGAGAGAGAGAGAGAGAGAGAGAGAGAGAGAGAGAGAGAGACATAGAAATAGACTGAGAGAGAGACGGAGAGCAGGCTCAGTAGCTCAGCCTTGGACAGTAAACATCGCACAGCCAGCTTGTGGAGCTCAAACAGCAGGGCTAATTTTTTTTTCTTTAACTTTTAGTGTTCCAAAAAGTACAACTGCATGCAAAGCATTCCCATTTAAAACAATGCAAAAATGAGGTAATAGTTTTTTTCATAGCATTTTTGTGTTATTTCTAAATAAATAAATTATGATTCAGTCGCCCCCAAAAAACTATACAAAATTAAATACATACCCACAATATCTACAGTTAGTAATAAATTATGATTGTTAAATACTTAAGGCATCTCAACTGACAACACCCTGTGTAAACTATGAAAACTTCATCACAGATGACTCCACTACAGGAGGAGGCAGTGTCAACACTGGCAGTGCACAAGACAGGGAGAAGTAATCATTGTTGATTGATCCTTGGCCCACGAGGCTGAAAGAGACTCTGGGCCAAATCTTATCCTTTACTATCACAGTGCATAGGACAGTGAGGGTCCTAAAGGCAGCCATTAACACACAGCCCTGTGGAGCTGAAATGATGAGGCGACACGTAGGGTAAAAAAAAAAAAAAAGAAGTGAAAATTGGTGAGACCACGACTTGTTTTAACAGCCTGAACATTTTCCTGCTGTCGTGTCATCTCTCTCGTGTCTGTGTGCACTGTGAGAGGGAGGCTGCCTCCGTCGCACCACGTTCTACATGTTCTAGCGATACAGCATAGCAACCAGCATAGCAACCACGAGGGGAGGTCTGTCACACAAATACACAAGATCAATACGCAAGCTCCTCTCTCTGCTGAAACACTGCATGAATCTATACCTAAATATAAACCAACGCAAATGCAATACCAAGGAAAAAAAAAACTTTTGTTGCTGTAACTATTGTCACATGTGCTTGTTCTTTAGGCAATAAGGTTAACATCGAAAAGAGGATCCCATCGTTGTCACCAAAGGGGACAAGATGAACACACGCTACAAGTCAGGGGAGCAGCCACTGACATCGTGCTCATTTTTTTGTTTGTTTGTTTGTTTGTTAGTGTTGAGAAGATAGTCACAGCTCAGATTAACTAAGTCATGCACAGCCATCTCTGTACCTTTTTAAATTGAAGTAACGCTACCAAAGCTAACAGCCCAAGTCGACGATGAAACATGCATTTTTAGTACACACTGTTCTGCCACTGGCCCTGCGCCAGATGAAGATGCAGGTACAAGGGTAGCTAAATCTTCCTCCCACCTCGTTCTGCGGTGCATGATAGTTTCCTTTTTTTCATCCCTTTTTTTTTTTTGGCTTTGTGTTGTATAAGCACTCCAATGGCCATGCTCTTAACCTACAGTGAGTCAAGGTGTTGCCTGAAACCCTTTAAACACACTCACATTTGCACTTTTTGAACACCCACACCTTTGTTAGACACATTCTTGAAGTCACACACAGCAGGGCAGAGCACACACATGTGAACCTGCACGTCAGGTTCAAGCTACACTGTGACAAAAAATGCATTTTGGTAAAACACTTTCTACCTATTTTTAAATTTTAAACACACAACAACTCGATCACTGGGCTCGGTTGTCTGCGGCAGTGAAAGAGAGACCTACTCACATGACACCATCTCACATGACACCAACCCAAGGTAAATGTACAACTGTATTGCAAAATGTCAAAGCTGCATGATAGAATTAAAACATCAGCTAGCTGGCGCTTGTCCCCAAGAAGGCGACATTGCACCAGATATCACTTGTTGGTTACTGCTACTCTACTACGACCACAAATGATCTTTAGGTAAACATGGCATCAGAGCATTTAGTTTCTGTTAAGCTTTCTTATGTGGCAGAATATTCATTTTTGATTGAAGTGTGTTTAGAAAGAGAGAAATGTAAGAGAGAGAGAGAGAGATAGAGAGAGAAAAGAGAGAAAGTAGCCAGCTCAGTGTGGGGTTATGTGTTTTCCACTCTCAGGACATTAAGTCATGGCTTTAAGGACATGCTACACAGCCCGGGGCTACCTACAAGTACAACACCACAACAGCAACAACACCCCACTATTGACCAGCAAGCTACAAGTAAACCCTGTGTACATGAGTGTGTGTGTGTGTGTGTGTGTGTGTGTGTGTGTGTGTGTGTGTGTGTGTGTGTGTGTGTGTGTGTGTGTGTGTGTGTCTGTGTGTGTGTGTCTGTGTGTCTGTGTGTGTCTGTGTGTGTTTGCGTGTCTTTTGCTTCCAGAGGGATGTGCTTCTATATAAAGAGAGTCCCTTGCAGCCTCTCGTGCAGTTAGTTATCCTGGCTTGGCTCAGTAAAGCGTGAGTCAGAAGGGTGATGATGTCATATGAAGTCTGGAGACATTTGGCAAAGCACCCAACGGGAGGGGAGAGAGGCCGGCAAGCCGGGGTGGAAGAAAGCAGGAACCACACAAGGGTGATTGACAAGGAGAGTGTGAGGGGAGGGGAGGTTGAATCTCATCAGCTGTCAGGGTTCAGCTGTGTTTCGATGTCAACTCGACAGATTGGACACTTCCTGCTGGTGGCCAGCCATTGGTCCACGCAGCCCTGGTGGAATAGGTGCATGCAGGGCAGTCTCCTGGAGGACAGAGAGACAGAGAGACACGGGGTCAATGTTGATTCACATTGGCAAGCATGACTGTCCCTGTGCAGACAGTTACTGGCTTGCAAAGAACTTCTGAAACCTGCAGGGAGTTAATTTTGTTCATTCAGGCATGTAGAGACAACTTCTGTTGAGTCGTGAATCCTACACGCCTCTCAGACAGCTGAGACTCCATATGCTGTAAACTGACTCTCTGTCCTCATCCCAGGGCACAGTTCTTCCTGAAGCTCACCCCCCAACTTGGTTATGAATGCATGTCTAAGTCCATGTGCTTGTGTGAATGTTTAAAGGAATAGTCCAGCATTTTGGGAAACATGCTTATTCACGTTATGATGTGAGTGAGATGAGAAGATTGATACCAATCTTATATAGGTGTGTTAAATATGAAGCTACAACCAGCAGCTGGTTAGCTTAGCTTAGCACAAAGACTAGAAAAGGTGGAAACAACTAAGCTTAGCACCATTAGAGCTCAATGATTGTTTAACTGTAACTCTACCCAAAGTGTAAATGTACCAGAGGTTTATGTGTTGGGCAAGTGCTGGTTACCTGACAACTGCTCAATAAATTAGATATAAGATGGTAATTTGTAACATTTAGAGGTGTTAGTATGTGTAATTCATTACCATTTTGCTAGCTGATCCCCCTGCCCTTGCAGTCTTTGTGCTAAGCTAAGCTAACTGCCCGCAGGTGGTAGGTTCATATTTACCACACGGTAAACCAGTACACCAATACTGCCATCTAACAAACAAACACAATAAGCGTTCTGTTGAACTTTTACTTGAAGCTTTCTGAATTTTCTTTACAGAAAAGTGATGTTTTAGTGAAAAAGTCAGATTCTGGGGCTCTGAGGGATTTCTCACCTGACGTCCTCTCCATCCTCCAGCATGGACAAACAGATGGTACATTTCTCATCCACATCTGTTTCCTCCTCCTCTCCAATCTTCAGCTGCAGGGGCTTTCTCTGTTAGCAGGTCAAATTACACAGAACGGCATAATATTAGGCCATTAAACCCCGTGTAAATATAATCAATAGTTTATGTCTTTGAGTTATTAACATGCTGTGGTTACTGTTATTTGCCCTACCTTCTTATATTTGTGTGGGAAGGTGAATCTCTCTATGGTTGTCTGGACAGCTCCTCTACTGACACTCCCCAGCCGGTCCTCCAGCTGCAACAGCTCCTGAAGAAAAAGCAGAGCCGAATATAATAGAATACTCTATAACAGCTGCTAAATTGACATTGTTTTGTCAATTGATGTTTCCAAGTTCAAGAATTCACTTTAACGTCAATTTATTATTCCAACATGAATAAGAAGCCCTTTAAGCATTCAAAAAAATTTGAACAGATCTACATTTGACATGACAACAGAGCCATCTCCTATCACAAGATCATGAGTGATCAGTGATATGACTGAAAGCTCTAGAACGGCTACCAAATGGAATATAATGTGAGGTTATTTGTCAGCTAGAATACAACAGTATAGACAAAGTTCAAGTTCTTTAATACACTAAATAAAGATGCAGATGAGATGGCAAAGTGACACAAAGCTTGAAAGTTTGTTTAAAAAAAAAAACAAAAAAAAACGAGGGTCCTGGCTTTGATGGATGGATGGGTGGAAAATATATGAAATGTATTGCGAAATATATCTACCTCATAACTTTCTCGCACAGCGGTGGCATGCCTTGAAGGATTCAGACTTTGCAGTGCCAACAGGTGCAGCTGAGGGTACGGGTAGTTTCTGATTTCATGCACAACCTAGCAAAAGAGAACTCCATCATATTACAGCACGGCTCATCCTGCAGCTAAATACAGTTTTTCTCCATTCTTTTGATGCATTGTTAAGCAAGCAAATACACGCTCCAAAAGGAGGTTGATGTAAGAATTAAAATCACATTCCAGTGCGTCCCTTTATGTGAGACTTTATGATGATTATGGAGGCAAATGTTGGCTATGTGATAGTTGTGTGAAACGTAAAGAGATCTGTGTGAAAAGAACCAATTATTATGAGTTAAAGGGGAACTCCACTGGTTTTATACATCTAAGAATGGTTAGAGGTCTTTGGGAGTTTCTGTGTGAAGAGCTGTATAAGGCTGTTTGTGGCTCCAGACGGAGCGGTGTTAAGTCTCATAAATTGTAGTTTTTTTCATAGCATTTGTACTTCAAGTTGCATTGTGGGTAATGTAGGTGCCAGGTACTGACAAGGAAGAAAAAAAGCATGGAATCTGGTTTTGCTGCATCAATTTCAGCCCATTGGAGAAAAAAACTCTAATTTACAGACGAAGATATCTATTGAAAAAAATTATTATGGTAATAAAATTCAAAATGAAGAATAGCAGGGTGGAACAGTCTGTGTTGAACATACCACTTGTGCAGAGGATGTGTTCCTGGGGAAGTGGTGCATTCGAGGGGAGGCTAGGTAATGCTGATAGTGCTGTGGAAGCTGCTGGAGCTGGTACTGGTGGTGAGGGAGGCCGGCATCTACGCTGAGATCCCTGCAGGCAGACAGACAGGCAGCTAAATCAACATTGTCACCCATGTTAGGCAATGTGACAGACAGACAGATGGGTGCAGAGATGAAAGGACGGGGATAATTTCTCCACTCTACAGGACTCTCGTTAATCTCCCACAGTGACTCACCAGTCGGTGCCTTCGGCCAGGTACCGTGGCTGCTGTGTCATTGGCTGGGGAACATGGAGGGGAGGGGAGTACTCATAGCCTGAACGCAGTCGGTGAGGGTTCAGGGGAATACGCTCCTGGGCTCTTCTGCAATAAGATAGAAATGTTTAACTTGGTATTATGTGTATATTTATCTGAATTAGCATGTAGTCGTGGTTTTACCTGGAGTGTGGGAGGATCCTGCGATGCTGCGCTTCAAGAAGCTGCTGCTGGATGAGGTATTGCTGGTGTAAGGCCTGAGGTAGGAATGGAGGCCCCGGCACATCCTGGAACTGAGGGGGTGCAGGCAGGGCAGTGAGGGGCGGATGGTGTGCCGGGGGCAGGTGGGTGGCCAGGCCTGTCTGAGGGGGCTGGCTGGCATGTCCTAGAGGGAACTCTGCTGAGATGGGCGCCTGGGGAGCGCCCAGGTGAAAGTGTCGGCAGGAGGTAGCATGGCTATTGTGATGCCTGGTGAAGTGTGCTCCTATGGGAAATAAATGCAAGTGATCAGAATTGCCTGTGATTACGTCTAACTAAACAGACACCACAGGGACCCAGACAAACCAGTGACGAGCACATATTGACACACATAACTGCTCTTAATAAGACAAATTAGGCCTTTCTGGCTCCCTCTCACACACACAAGGACATTCAAAAACATTCAACCACCGGTCACACTGAGAGAACATAAAAATAGGAGAGTCCTGACACAGGAAGAGACAAGACAAGACAGACAAAACAGCAGATGGATGACACAAACACTGAGACCCCTGTGGAGCGCCATCTAAACCCACAGACAGATTGCACCCAGTGGCCTCCCTGTCCACTTGCCATAGTATAGCCAGCAGGGAGGATGGATCTTCACTAGCTGCCTGGGGTGTTTCCGAGGAGATCTACAGCACCAAGGGTTGTCTGCGGTCCATCTCTAGTCTATTTAATAGATTTAGGTTCTACATTGTGATTGCTGTTTGAAGGAACACTGTAGATTTCTCATTAAAACCCTCCATGAGTCTGATAATAGTCAGGCTCCACAGCAACTGAGGTGGGCTCAAAAGATTATCCGCCTCCATTTCTACCCTCCCCCACCCCTCCTATTAGAGGTGGAGAAGACTTGAGATTGTGTGGTAGTCAAACTGAATCACCTCTGTATTGACTTGAACAAAACAATCAATACAAATTACTGAGCTCACAGAAAAGAGGGCTGGACGGAGAGTGAGGTGGTGACAAACCATTACTACTTGAAGTTCCCATTACAACTTACAAGGCTTCTGGACCAGGAGGCAGACAGTGTGTGTGGAAGATGGACTGTGCAGTGTGTATATGAAATACCTGAGTATTGCCCCTTTGTATGGCCTAGAAATATATTCAGTCTTCAAGTTGTGTATTTTATAAGAAACAATTATCTAATCTACTGCTGTGTCAACTGTCCCAGGCTGAATCAGGCAGACTAAATCTGGACTAGCTAAACAGTAATATGGAGTGACACCGTATGTCTAATATGAGCAAGTGGGAGGATTTAGCTATTAGTTAATGGTTTGTGATATATTTAGCATTTGCTGACAAATCTAATTAACAGAAAATGGTTCACTGACTTGAGATTCAATTTGCATATCATCATCTGTAACATTTTCATTTAATTTAAACAAAAAAACCTCTGAAATACATGTGAATCATATATATTTATTTTGTTTAGTTAAAGGAATAGTTTGCCATTTTGGGAAATACATTTATTCACTTTCTGAATGAGAAGGTTGATACTACTCTCATGTTTATCTGTTAACTGTAAGTTAGCAGCTGGTTAGCTTAGGTTAGCTAAGCTTAGCACAAAGAATAGAAACAGGAGGAGACAGCTAGCCTTGCTATGTGTAGCAGTTACAAAATATTACAAAAACCAAAATGAAAACACAACAAACTATGTCTCACCCAAGAAAGAGCCTGACACGCCAGTTTTGGTACAAATTAGCTGTTTCCTCCTTCAGTGCTAAGCTAAGTTAACCTAAGCTAACCAGCTGTCTTTGCTCTCCTCCAGAAAGCAAATAAGTGGATTTCCCAAAATGTCAAACTATTTCTTTAAGTATTACTAATATGACATATTTGCACGATTGTTGTTTTGCTTCACTGCATGTAGCCTCTGGACGTGGAAAGCCAGTGAACCTTGAGAGCCATGAGCAGGCTGAAAACATTTGGCTGAGGAAGTAGAGCAGAAATGGCAGACTGGTGGTTCGGTTTGGTAAAAGGTTGCACGTCACTTTTGTATAAAGCCTGTGACCTGGTAAGACTGGACTCCGTGTGAAGCTTAGAGTAAACATCAGATTATTTGTCTCTGGGCTCTTCCACAGCATCAACTACTGACATTAATATTTGACATATTGCAGTGCTGCCAGCAGTGTTACATCTCTGCTTCCACTTTGACTTAGACATAAAATGCCCGATTGGTGCAGAACAGACCCCCACCCATCCACACAAACACATGCACATACACTCCTCATCCACCTCTCCTCACTCCTAGCCCCTGAGCTGCTGCACACAGGCAGCCCCTCCCCCACAATGTGGCTGCAGCATGGTGTCCCTGTGCTGTGAGTGACAGCCCATAAGCACCGCCCACCAGCGACTGCAGCAGTCTGACATTAAACCTGCCCCCCCCCCCGCCCTCCCGCTGCCATCACTGCAGCTTTGCAATCACACCTCCTTTCTAACGTAATCCTGTCTTCTGCCTAGTCCGGTGGTCTTCCATCATGCATCAGAGCCGTGTATTATGCAGTTTTTTATTTGAAATCCATCACCACACCAGCTGATATTGGTGATTTGCAGACTCACAATTTAGAGTGTGGGAGTAAGGAGAGAAATAAGCCTCTGTGTTGTACAGTTGGACTAAAAATGTGCATACAAATTGCTCTAGATGGCCCATGCTTGCACACTGCTTACTGACCTTGATTCTGTACATGGGTCAAATAAGGACAGGGTGGTTGCTCAGTGAAAGACAAAACATCTGACGTTAATGTGGTCTGAAACAATGCAGCTACCGTGTTTTAACATATGCATTACAGCAGTCAAGTTATTCAAAAGTCTATTGCTGTAGTCAGTGGCAAAAATTGCCAAGCACATATGGCTATTTCTCAGACACACCTTATGTCTGCTCATAAATAACTCTGACTATTTCAGACATTGTGAACAGATGTAAGGCTCAAGTGGCTGGAATGGGACAGGAGGGAGTCCCACACTTTAAAACTCCTTAAATTGCTGAATCTATATTTAAAGTGTGCAGCTAAATACTCAGAATTAATGACACCAGAGCCTGTGCTACATGACGTGACCAACTGCCCTACTTCAAAACTTTTCAGAGAAGCAAAGGCTTTTTAATGCTTTGTTTATAGTGAGAGCGATCCATAAAGCCAAGACGGTAGAGTAATTAACTTAACAATTACAAAAGAGTAGAACTTATAAACCAAATAATTTTGTAGGCTAGTATAAACATTCAGCACTTGTGTAATTAAGGCCCTTGTAGGCAACCTATAGTGCAATATTACCATCACTTACTGACAAAAATTATGTCAACACATTCATTTCATATTAGACTCCCTGCAACAAATAATCAAAAGCCTTATCTGCACAATGAGACACGTTTTGTTACGTTGTTGTCAGAAGCTACTAACATGCCTCTGGATGACTATAGGAATTTATTCTTACAAATTAAAACTGTTGCTTTCTAGTAATCTAAGAATTTACTTGTATGAATGTGTCAAGGTCCGTTGTGCTACTTAAAGAGAAAAGAACCAAATGAAAGAGCCCAAAAGTTATGGACATGACACGGAGACACAGATACAAGGCTTCACAGATAAAATAGTCGCAATTTGGTGATTGAGCCAGGCTGATTTTTCATTATGCTACACATTTGAAAGAATAGTAGAAAATCTACTTATTCAATTCGCAGGTGTAGAGTTAAATGATAATATACCACTTTGATTTCTGTCTGTTAAGTACAAGCCAGCAGCCAGTTAGCTTAGAGAGAAAGAGCTAGCCTGGCTCTTTCAAATGGTAACAAAATCCACCTATCAGCATCTCCAAAGCTCACTTATAAACATGTTATCTCTCCTTTCCTTAAACCAAGTGCAAAAATGACATGTTTGGTTACTTTAAGCTAAGCTGCTGGCTGTAGTTTCATATTTGCTGTGCAGCTATGAAAGTGATATCAATCTTCTCATCTAACTCTACACCTGAAAGCAAATAAGCATATTTCCCCAAAATGTCAAACTATTCCTTTAACAACACATTCGAAAGAACTGCACAACCTACAGAAGAATGTAGCCCAGTGGTTATATATTATAAGGAAGAGAGACTTAAAAGGTCTTTGGGGTTTAGATACAAGTCTGTTCACCCTTAAATCAGGACGAAATAACATATACAATGGGGTCTGAGACCACAGTCCATTCAAGTGAAAGGAAAAGTGGTCTCAGACTATAATTTGCCATTGTATAAATGGCATTTGCAATACCATTTATGCCCTGGCAAATGACCCTTTAATATCTTTAGTTGTATTAGGCCATTTTAGGCAATGCTGTATATCAAATGCAACATTTCTAACATGATTTGTGCATCAGCATGTTGAAGTACCTTGATTTTTTTCCATTTAAAAAAAAAAAAATTGCTGGATTAACAAACTCATTCCTCTCTGGTTTTTACAAAAATTTTACAGAAAACGGACTGTGGTATATCACCACATACATCGATATGCCAAAAGAAAATGATATATACCATGATAGAAGAATTTGTCCATATCGCTCAAAGTGGTTCCAATGTTAACTCAACACCAATGAACACCAATGAGTGGATGTGAGGGAGGCTGTGTCTTGTTTTATAAACAATAGTGTATGGATTAGGAGGGAATGACAGCGTGTAACATTAAATATCAATGCCGGTGTGTTTCACTATAAACATGCTTTTTTTTTTCTTTTTTTTTTTTTTTTTTAAAAATGGATAGAAAATTTGGTTGCCCCTACTCCAAACTAAGCAGAGCAGCAACTTGAAGAAACTCTGTCAAAGACAGCTGAGAAATGAGAGCACATATAGAGTGAGGGGACCGTCTCAGTGACAGCACAGTGTGGAGGGAGGAGGGGAGGAACACATGGAAATCAGCAAAAAGCACACTGAAGGTTAGGAAGAAAACTACAGTCTTTATTGGAAAATATTAGGATGTGTGGCACTGTGTGATAATAGTAATAATAAGAGTAATAAGTCCTATATAACCATAATAATACCATGCAAATTAAGACCAAAGGCAAGGCCCGACCATGCTCTCTGTAGGGTTAACAGAACAGAAGCAGCATCCAATGAGTAGATGTGTATGCTTATAGCACATTTCAGTACAGCAGGGACATCTCTACACAAAGATTACATTGGAATCTGCTGTTCAATGTGGAAAAACAAAAGTATAAAATGACCATGCATTAGGATCTAATACAAGAACATAAGGTAGAAAACCACAACCAAAGAATAAAAGACATTTTGATTCTAAAAAGGAGTTCTACAGCAGTGCAGGATATACACATCCCTGTAAAATGGATAGCATTCTGGAGGTGTCTGAGGAAAGACTCGAGAGGGGGCTGTGAATGATAGGGGGGGATTTTCAAAATGGCAAGATGAGTTAGACCTGAGTCTCGCCAATTTATTGTGACCGACAAAATCAATTCAGCTAGCAGGAACAAAGGCTTTCACACATGGATAGGATTATGACCAGCCGTTTGGACGCCACTATAGCAAGTGCAGTGGACCATCAAAGGTGAAAATAACATCACACAAATTACTGTGATTTTAGTAGTGCAGGGTTTTGGCCAATTGGCAAATGTTAGGATAACAGGATTACTGGTCAAAAGTGATTTAGAGAAGGTGATCATACAAGCACTGGTACAATGCACCTTTGCAAATAGGGGATGGAGACAATATTCAAAGAGTTCGATCAAGCCTGGCTGTAATCGAATCGGGGAGGATCAAAATGTATCCACTTTACAGAAATTTACAGCAGAATGTAGTCTATCCACACTGAATGGGAGAATCACAATGACAGTCTGTAGTAAAGTCTAATGCTACAAATGGGTTATTCACTAAAGAGCAACATGACAGTATAAATAAAGACAAACTGTTTTCTACAGAAGGTGTTATTCTTTAGTCTGTTACACAGAAGGATACGGTATGAGTGGGAACTCGGTTTTAATGCCAATGTCGTCTTCAGATGGAAAGAGGAAATGAGGAAGAAGGGGTTCACAATACAGCTAGATGCAGAGAACAGGCAGAGGCTACGGCAGACAGCAGCAGATGATCGTTAGCTACACAATGGAGGGGGACAAAGGTCTGAGAAATGCGGAATGTAGAGCCAGCCTCGATACTATGGAACAGGAAAAAAGAACACAAATAAAAGCACAATGAAATCATTGGTGCTACTGCATGTAGTTTTAACAATGCACGTCAAATTATTATTAATACTACTATTATTATTACATAATCAACACAGATAGCCTACTGCAATGGAGGATGATGTTATTGTTATTGTGCCCAATTGAACGGATGTGATTATTCGCCTTTATGCTGTTCAGATTTTCACTGCTGGAGCGCCTGCAGCGTAGTATGCAGGTTTCATTTGTCGCTTTCCATCGGACAAACATTTTATTTTAAGGTTTGGGGCAAAATGCCACCATTTTATAGTCTATTTACAATAGCTCCTAACCTGAGGTACAACCATTGCACTGCCTGTTTTTAAATGGGAGATGCGTTAATTGGATATAAGTCATAAAAGTCAGGGTAAAATGAGCGCAGGAAATCAACACACTCGATGCCAGTTGCACACAAAGGGGCAAACAACCCTTGTCATGTTGTCAGCTGCTTGCACGGCCAAATTAAAGACAAATCCAGACAGAGTTGTGGAGATTAATGGCAAAAAAAAAAAAAAGGAAAAAGAAAAAAAAAGCTGAGCTGGTATATGTGAACAACATCGAGCTGTTGGTATCGTTCAGTAGTTACTAGCAGTGACTGCACAAAATAACTGCAAACGCACGTAAACACGGCGCAGTGGAAGACGAAGCAGACAGGACCGCGCTAGCCGCCGCCGCTGACGATAAAAGGGAAAAGCGAGGCTGCCATTTGACAGCTGCGGTGATTTGGTGCGGTGAACAGGCCACGAAACATCCTAACACAAATTACACTCGTGGCTCCTATAAAATTAAATGCCTTCACTCACAGTAACCACGTTTTAACTTGTTATATTTACGCGACGCTACAGTTAGCAAGACAGCTAATGTTATCTGTCGCTATCGTGCTCGCCTTGCTAGCAGGTGTCAGCTGTTTACATCATTTAAAAGGACATTTAAAAAGAAGAAACGCCGAGAAATTTGTTGGATTAGGGTTAGGATTAAAAAAAAAACACACAGCTAGTCATACCTCTATTTCTAACTGAGCCGAAGACGGGGAGAACCAGATATCCAACATGTACTAACACCATCCTGGGTCCTTCTTTGTTGTGTGGGCAGCCAGCGAGACAGATGGTCCATGGAAATGATCCCCTCCAGTACCCTGCACATTCAAACGGACAGGCTGCGCTGCTTGCACACGCACACCCGGACGACCAATCACTGGACCCCTCCAAGCAGGACCCTCCGGCTTTGGAACCCAGCCCCGCCAATAGGATCAGCGCTGGGGCGGGGATGTCTGTGTTTTTGGTCAGCCCGCCCCTCCATGACTGAATCCACCACAAGCCCGGATAAGATACTTATATAGTTAGTGTTTCTCCTCCAAGTAAACATGACCCCCTCATTAGATTTCATTCATACTGTCTATTGAACATTGGCATTTATGTGTCAAAAAGAGGAGCTATATTAAAATGAAAATTCAATCTGCAACTGATTATTCAGTAGGTGTGGACAATATAGATCCAGGAACACATATCAATCTAAATATTGATACTTTTTATTGTTTAAAGCAGCATCATGTAAAGAGAGTAATATTTAATTGACATGATCTATGAGATGTATACATTTTTAATAATCTACTTCTTACTGTATTTTAATCAGCACAAAAACATGAGGCATTTACTTTTACTAAACAGAATACAGTATTTAATGGTAAATAAAAAATATTAATTATGTGAATTGTCTGAACTAAATAGATCATCACTGCAAATATCACAGCATAAGAAGTGTGTCCCTTCATTTTTACATATAAAACATTTAATGTGGTGAATTATTTAAGATTAAGATTAAAGGCCCTGCATACCCGTACAGGTGTTTTCACTTATTGTGGCTGATTAGGCCTGCTCAGGCTGGAGTCATGCAAGGCTCTGCTGGGTATTACATGAGGTAACCAAACACCATCTACTAATGGGCATTTTCACAGCAGACATTTTGGCATGTCATAGCAAGAAAACCACATGTGTAATTTATAAAATTGACACAGTTAAAAACATGCATTCATTAAAAACATTAAAATCCACTTCCAGGGCCCTGGTAATGTGCATGCTGACTTAGCTGCATGGTGTACTGGGACACTTAATGAAACTTCATGAGTCTTCGTTAACAAAATTTGTTCCACCTGTGCTTTTCTTGAAAGACAATTCAAATGCTGCAACAAAGCCACCAGGACGGTCAGGAGAAAATGCAAGTGAAAACACTTGATGTGCAGGGTCTTCGAACTTTCCAACAGGTAATGAAATAATTAATAAGGTTCACTCATCTAGCTACATTGAAATGCTGTTTGCATTGCAATGCCTTTATATTAATAACAGTCCACTATAGTAGTATACTGTTTAAACTATGAAAATGGCCATTCTTCATCATTAATACTTTTACTATGGATATTTTTAGTACATTTTGCTGGTGATACTTCTGTACTTTTATTCATGTAGAATTTTTTAATGGAAGAATTTTACATCATGGGATTGTAAAGGATCTGAGTACATCTTCCATTGTCTGCAGTTCATAGACCTATGTCTCATGGTTTTGAGAACTGGCAGCTAAATTCGCAAGTAGACATTGGTTCACCAGACTACAATGTAACTACAAAAAGGACTCCTATAAGACACTGAACATCTGAGACGTTAAAGGAAGAAAAAAAACACATTGGATTAAATTGAATAATAGTTTAAGCCTGTTCTTCTTCACTTTGGGACTGAGTGGATTTATCGTCTCAGCCAGGACCCTTCTGTGAGAACGAGTAAACAGACACATTCATTAGGGAAATGCAGCTGAATAATCAGTTATACAGATCATTAAGTAATATTTATTTCTCATCTTAATTCCTTTGAAAAACAACTGCTTCCTAAACATATGTTGTGCCATTTTTCTGCATAGCAGATATGCTGAAGACTGTCTGTGTCCTGAAAACCTCTCTGCCTTTAGTCTTAAGCCTGAAGGGTGAAGGAACAGATGGGCATGGGGAGGCTGAGGGGGTCACAAAACTCATAGTCCCATATGTCCTCGTCTTCCAGTTCCCACCATCTAATACTTTGAGCCTGCTGTGCCACACAAAGAGCCTTTCATAATGGTTTACTATCACTGCAGGTCAAACTACTGCAATCAGGCCCCTTTATTTCCCAATGACAGACTTTTGATCTTTAATTCTGTCACATTTACATACACATTTTCTTGAAAAATTAATTTCTCTTCAGTCCTCGTGCTAATTAGTCACATTGCCTTCTTTTGTTGACTTATCTTTTCGGATTTTTTTTTTCCCCCCCACAGTGACAGGTTGAGTTAAATTAGAAAACAGCTTTTTAATTTGTACTATATTAAGCAGAGCCTGAAAGTAACGTTTCATGTTGTGCTCACTGGTAAATTGAAGTAGTTCCATCACACATTATTCTAGTTGGTTTAAAGCCCTCTGGTGGTGGTTGGAGCTGTCATTCTGAATAAACCTGCATATAACAGCGCACTTGTACAACACTGAGTTTAAACCTGCAGACCAAAAAGACATCTGCAGGAGGAAGGATTCTCATTTCTGGCTTTGAGAGTGAGCCAGCACATTCACTGCTCTGTGAGGCCACCACTGCCCTGTAAAAATTAGCATACAGCTGATGTTCTGCCCCGAGGGTGAAAAGAGCTGGCTAAAGGGCTTCTTTGGTTTAAGGAAAAGGGCCCCGCAGACTGCATTGCTCCACTCCCTCATTGTCCTCTTCATGTGAACTCCATATGTCCCCCTAGCGGCAGGTGTCACAGGATGACCTCTGACCCGGCATGCCACTTTGTGGGTGAGGGTGAAGTTGTATTGTTCACAGCCAGGCAGTAGTCTAGACTGTTTAGCCACAGGATAAAAGAACACAATGAGACATCTGATTTAAGTTTTGTACCTATGATGGCAATTCTTCTCACTCATACAGACAAGTGCATACTCATACAAAACACTTTAGATAGACAAGACTTGTGGCGTCAGATACATTTGTCAATGTGCTGTCATGATAGTAACATTGAAATTCTACTTTTTGAAGTATTTTGTTTGCGAAAGTTGTGTTTAAAGATGTCTGAAAGGATGAAAAATGTCATTATCATCATGTTCCTCTGGAAAACTGGCAGCCAAGTTTGCAAATAAGACATTCATTCATCAGACTTCAATAAAACAACAAAGAAAAATCCTCACCAGTTCAATTTTCCTTCCCTAACCTTGATACCAGACATTTCACCTCCCAACAGTCCCAGCCCTTGAGCAAAGATTACACAGCATGATTATAATCCAGTTTTCTAGTAAAAGAAAAATAAATAAACATACCAGAGGGTCATTAAATAACGCTCTATTTATTTAGTTTTAAAATAGTTTCTTTTTGATCTACAGACATAATTTCAAGGAAGTCAAGGACCTGCAGAAGCAACAAAATAAACACCTTGTTTGTTAATTTAAAATACTGACAGTAAAATAAAACAAAAATAACAGAAGAGCAAGGCTAAATTACTAATGAGGGTTATAATCTGACTTGAGGTTAAAAGATGTGACCAAACATGCAATGTGCAACCATAGTTGAGCATCACTGCCCTATTTTCTACCAAACCTCACCTCTAAAGACAGGAGCAATGTCTTACTAACATTTCATAATAATCCTAAGGAACAATAGCAAAATAGATTTTGCAAGCAGAAGTGGTCTGGTAAAATAATTGTCCCTACAGTGGTAGCTGCATATAGTGAAAAGAACTGGCCAATGGAAAACAAAAATATCACATTATACTGAACTGTCTTGAATATGAAACAGAATTCATGTCACCTCATTTCACAAGTGCAACGACTTCCAAATTAAAATCTTCAGACTTACTGAGTAAATTTAAAAGAATAAACTGGAAGCATATTTCAACTTGGGAAAGAAAACAAACCCAAAATATATTCCATTTAGACTTTGGTTTAGTTCCTTATATTTAGGATTTTCCCTTTCTGTGACCAGCAGAAGTTAAATTAATATGATTATATATTTCTCAAGCATCACTTAAAGTCGATGTTATTCAATATGCAATAAAACAAAGTGATAAAACAGTGTATGAAGTTGGATTGCTGATAAACCTTTACCAGCATGGCTGCAGTCTCATCAGGGCTGTAGTACTGCATGAAGACAAAAATAAGACCACAGGGAAAGAGAGCAAGCAGGCCATGAGGACCAGGGTAAAAACAGTTCATACAGTAAATGTCTCCTCTACAAATGCCCCACATGTGGGCACAAACTCAACACCACGTGTACTGTGTTTATACATGTGCTAAATTCACATCTATTATTAAAATATTTATTGTTGAATAGCAAAATCCACTGCTTTGTAGGTAAAAGAATAAGCTTTATACCATTCTAAAAGAAAATAGTGCACATTTCAAGGCAGTTAGGCCAACTTGCTTTGCAGTATTCAATGGAAGATACATCTCCTCAGTTGTTATAAAGGGGTCCCAGAGGTTTAAAGGTGCTTGCATCCACTCAGGATAAGCATGCAAACAATAAGTGCACCCAGTCAGCACTGCAGGGTCATACATTCACTGATAACCACGACACCTTCGTGTCACTTTCGCTCTCTCTAACAGAGATGTGGTGTCTGACGAAAAATTTGTCTTCAACAAAAGATACGTGATTTCTATTGCCAATAAAACATCACACATAGTACTGCTGCGATGGAAATGAGTTGTATTTTGTAGTGTGTCTGTGACAAGTGTGGATGTTTTATTTACCTCTGAGTTTGAATCTAACAAGTGGTTCCGTTTGTTTTCATGAAAAAGAAAAAACGTATTGTAACATGGAAACAAAGGAAACAAAAGCTGTGAATTTAAAATAAGACAGATTTTGAGAAATAAACTTATTTGCGTTCTGGTGGAGAGTTCAGTCTAGATGAGAAAATCAATACCAATGTCATTTCCATTAAATATGAAGCTACAGCTAGCAGCTGGTTATCTTAGCTTAGCACAGAGACTGAGATGGGGGAAATGCTAGCCTTGCTCTGTCCAAGTATTTCTTGGCTCTGCGCAGTTGCCAGGGAACCAGCAGAGACACCGGGAAGTTACTGTGTCCAGCCAAGACTAAGTCTGCCATGTAACCGTCTGTTAAACAGCAAATTGCCATTTTTAGAACTCAGATTAATCAAATGAGATACCATGTTAATCAATGAGCTTTAAAAGGTGCAGGTAGGTGGATTTGTTACCTTTGGACAGAGACAGGCTAGCTGTTTTGAGTCGTTTTGCTGAGCTAAACTATACGGGCTGTAGCCTTTATATTTAACAAAAAGATATATGATATCAATCTTCTCTTCAATCTTCTCATTTAAATTCTCAGCACAAAGGCAAATAAGCTTATTTCCCAAAAAGTCCAACTACTCCATTAGGACGAACCAAAACAAAACACTCCCGGACAGTATCAGAGCATGGGCTCTTCTTAAGCTGAGCACTGTATAGTAAAGCGAAGTTATCAATGCAGAGCTAAATATGAAACCAGTGGTGAGACTAAAAACAAAATTGACCCAAGACAGGAACAAAGCAATTGTTCCCATCTATCTATGATGTACTGTACAACAGAAAGTGTACCAGCTGCCATTTTGTCTTGACCGCAGGTGACTGCAAATAAAAATGCCAAATCCAGTCTGAAAATATGTTGTTCAGAGTCTGTAGTGAAACGGGTCATCAGCCATATTGTGATACAGACCTGCTCTTAAGCAGCAACTTGAAGTTTTCACTGTATAGCTTGCAAGCACACAACACCAAATGACTACCTACATCCGTTATCAAGGGGTAACTGAGGTATAAAATGAAGGGAGGATATTGCTATCATTGACAGATCAATCACTCTTACATACATTTCCACCTGCACTTGAAGTGCTGTGCCATTTTATTACAACTAAATTCATAGCTGACAAGCCAAGATCAGGGAATCACGTCAGCAGAATGGCTTTGATACATATGATTGTTCAACAGTAAGTTAAAAACAAACAGTGCTCTGGAGCAGGAAGAGTCCACAAGTGGTTACAGGCGAGGCTGCAACTCTAGGAAGGATTTCAGCCGTAACATGGAGGCGAGGCGAGAGGGATGAGGATTAGGAGTGAGAGAAAGAAAAAAAGGAGTCTTCAGTGTACAAGTTGTTTAAAGTAGGTATTTGTGTCCAGTGTCCTCGTCCAGCGTGAGGTCCACCACTTCAGGAGGGGACACCCAGTTAGGCTGAGGAGAAACAGTAGTCCATAGCTGTGGTTGATTTGTGCTGTTTAACTGCTCCACTGAGTTCTCCTTCCAGGAGGACAAACTCTTTATCACACCTCCGCATGGGTGGGCGCATCTGGATTTAGAAACAAAAAATTCAAAAAATTTGAATTCATTTGTAAAACCGTTGGGGTGGGGGGATATTCACACTGTCAGTAAAAATAAAACTTTACAGATAAAGTTTCCCCTCTTAAAGTCTTTACCGTGGTTTCTCTTGCACTCCGACAATTTCCACCTCGCTGTCAGAGGAAGCAACGTTAATCTGGCCCTTGTTGTGTTGAGAACTCTCCTTGTGCGACAGCTCTGCCTCCATGTGGCCTGAAACAAATAAGAGGAACAGAGTCACACATTGTGAGGAGAGCCGGAGCAGTAGAGAGCTTCAGGCCTTGCTGACACATGAATACTGCAGCTGCTTTGACACAGACAAGAACAAAACAATGATGAATCTGACACTGTGTTTGAAAAGCTGACTGGACAGCATGGAGGGACACATTGGACAAAACATAAATTGTGGACTTTATATTCATGTTTTCACAATGCCGGCTAGTCCGTCATAAAAGGTCAATTCTTTTGTCTTGAAGCAAAGCCGCAAGACTTTTAATAGCACCAAATGCAAGCCAGTGGAGTGTGGGATGAAGGGTAGCACTTCAAAGGCGTCTTGCTGAGCTTAATAAGATGGTTTCCCCACTTATTGAAGACATCCATGCCTCTAAATGTCCTGTCTTCACTGAGAAGAGTGGAAATTATCAGTTTAGATATACCGGGTTTGTAACTGACCTGAGATAGAGCTCAGAGCTCTTACACACCCAGAGTGAGCTGCCATATCCTGGCCTCTGTGTGTTTTTAGCTCATGCTTTATCACCGTGGGCCGGACTGTCTCCACACTCATACTCTCCTGGTTAGAATCAGTGTCTGAAATATCATAGTGACCCACTACTGGAGGCCCGTCTGCAGAAAACAAAGAAAACACTTCATTATTCAAATCATGCCTGGGAATAGCGGGACTCTGTTTGGACAAGACTCTGGACACTGCATCCAAAGTGGTGCTAGCTGCAGCGTCTAAAATATACCCAAGGAAACACACCCTATTTCACCAGATGACCAGAAGCAGTAGTAGAATAAAACATTTTGGCTCAGTCAGCCATCGCTCTGCTGTAAAACATGAACAATTAGAACTGTGAATAAGATTATGATCACTTTGCAAAGCTACACTGGTGAGGCTTTTATATTATACGTGTGGTTGTGTTTGGGGTGTATTAATCCTTTTGCAGCAGCAGTCGGGTTTTTTTCTCTCCATTTATTGCTTTTAAAATAACAGCCATTCACATAAAACAACACTAGAATACAGTCATTACAAAACACTTCAACATAATCTTATTCAGTGAGTGAAATGTAGTGGGATAATAGAAGCCTAACAACAGAAGAATAACTGTGGAAGAGCGGGAACATGTATCTTTGTTCTACCCTGTCAAAGGAGTCCCTGGGAGACACGTACACACTTCTATCCAGACGTACAGTATGTGTGAGGGGGTTGGCCTGGACAGTGTGTACTATGAGAGAACACTGCCTATGAATAGTAGATTGGGCTGAAATAAGCAGGTACCAGGGTTACCAGAGAAACCGAGCACTTGCCAATGTAAAAGGCCATGTATTAAAGATAGAAAAAGGACTAATGTAAACCAGGATAGTCTCTTTGGTAAACAATGGACTGTCCTTAGTGTTGTTTTTAATGCACACACTCTGTTGTGATTGTATGCACGAGGCTCTCTTAACCGTGTTGACAAAAACAGTGGATTTAAAGGTAATTTCAGTTTTAACAAATGCAGGACAGCAGTTGTTGGATCCATTTAAACCCAAAAAGGGCAAAGTAATTATGCACCATGAAACAGAAACACCAATATTCACACAATTTGAAACAAAAACCATTAGGCCAAGAGAAAACAACTAAATAGATAAAATGTTCTGTCAGACACCATTTATCAGCACACGCAAAGCTACACCTTGCACACATGCTGCTGATGAGAACTAATTTGGCCTTGCACATTCTAGATACTAATAAAATCACATGCAAACAGGTGGTGAAACGATGCGATCAGCTTTATGTTTTGTAAAACTGACAGTCATAGGGCTACATTTACACATACAGAAAACACTTTTTAACATCCTAACTATAAATATGATTAGGCCAAAGATTCCTTCATCAATGTCTGAGATGGTTCAATAGTGTTAGCAGTGTTAAGAACTGTGACACTATGGTCATCTACATCGGTAAAAGCAGTTTTGAGGAGAGGGTTGAAGAGGGGTGTTTCCACCTCACCCAAGACCACAGGAGCTGAACCAGAGAAGGCCACTTGATCACCCAGATCAGTCCGTTTTTTAAGGAAATCAGTAAACATTGCCATGCACCGTACTGCAGCTGTATTACTGCTGTGTATCTGTAAGTTTGATGCCTGGGCTTTCCATTTAAAGTCAAGCTTCGGAACACGCAGTGCCATGTGGAGACACAGGCCAAGCTGGCAGACCAGTGCAAAGAAAAATTTAACTAGGCAAATATTAAATGAGTGAGTGAAGATTTGAGGCTCTTGACATTGTAGCTAATAGCCACAATAAAAGGAACCCATGCCTTATCTGATGCCTATAATCTATACATAGGCTACTAAAAATAACATTGGGAATCATTCCTCCCTCACTAGTTTCCTGTTACTGCACACAGGCAGCAATAGCAGCAAATGTAACAGAAAGGCAAATATTAAAAATGTAAACTCTAATCTAATTACGTCATATGATTTTAAAAAGCAAGAAATCGTGTGGGTTAGTATATTGCGTTTATATTTATAGGCATATCTATGTTTAAATGTTTTGATGTTAGTAAAGCTATGCCACCAAAATAAAGGTTGTCACAAGATTTTAAAAGTCCTGAACCATTCACAAGCAAAGTGCAAACATAGTTCAGGAGAAAGAAGGGTTATGTAGAGTGTTGAACCTGATTTCTAAAGAAATAGTACTATGATGCTTTATCTATCATTCCCAGCATGAGTTCAGATTGACAAGGCACATGCTCTTAAGCAGCAGCACCCCACCTAACACTGTAATGATGGCTGCCCAGGTGCTGTAATGCACATTCTGTCTGAATGACATAATCAGCTACTCTGTGTGTGTGTGTGTGTGTGTGTGTGTGTGTGTGTGTGTGTGTGTGTGTGTGTGTGTGTGTGTATGTGTGTGTGTGTATATGTATATGTATATGTGTATGTGTGTGTACAGCTGGTTCACAAAAACAAACAAGCCATACAATAAGCAATACAGTAAGAGCCCTGACTCAACAGTATATTGAGATATGTCCTGTGTCCGTGTCACAGATGCTGCAGAAATCAAACAGGTGAGTTGAATTATTCAGAATGTCAAATCTCACAGTGATTCAGTGCCAGCAGATGCACTGGGCCTCAGGTCTGCACAGTCAAGTTCAAATGACCAGCGCAGGCCCAACTGATGTTGATGGTGTATCCGTTAAGTGACCTCGCATCATTTACCTATTAAAACCCATTGCCATGCTTTCTGCATCAACTAATTCTACACTTGGTAAGATCAAAGTATGAAACTGCAAGGAGTGAAGAAGTGAAATCTAAACATTCAAGAGACCAGGGTCTGGAACACCTAGATTTCCATTCTGAGTGACCACTTCAGGTAGGATGTTGTTGTTTATAGGGGTGGGGGTGAGACTGTTGTTCTCTCGTGCCAGCATGTAGGCAGCCATAGTCTCTGCAGACTCTGACGATGGTAAAAAGGAACTGGGCGGGGACGGGCGTGCCCCCTGGGAGTGATGCTGCTGCCCCTCTAAGGCATCACTTGAGCGTTTGGATGAGTCGTTGTCCGAGTCGAGGTGTGCAAGCTTTTCCATCCAGATGCGGAAGCGCTCCTCAGTCTGGCGCTGCATCACGGCAAAGCGCGTCATGGCCTCCTCCAGAACGCTGCCGATGCCGTTCCTGTCCCACGAACCGCTGTCCAGCAGCCCATGAATCTGGGCGCCCACTCTGGATCTCTCCGATGCACGTCTGAAGCCAGCTTTAAAGACATTGAGGCCAAGCCATAAGAAAATACAGTAGCACTTTCATGCTTCGGAGGTGGACTTTTGTATTAAAGAGAAAATGACAGTTTGTTTTTGGTTACGTGCAGATCGACTCTTTCATGCTGATGGACTACATCATGCAGTTGTAGCACTCAAATCTGTGTGCAGGATGTAAAAATGGTTGAAACGTTTCATGTACTACGGATCCCTAAAGGAAGGAGCTGGATGTCTCAGGCGACTGATTCAGTCGTGGTTTGGAAAATGTGTTAACTGGTGAAACTTTGAGGTAAACACACCTATTTAGGGTAAATTAATTACATTAATTACAACCCTATGATGCAAGGACAGCAAATATGTCTAACTGTACTTGCTTCTAAAACCATCTTTATATAATACCTCTATACTTGTCCTGAACAAAACTCTATAACTGTATGAACTAGTTCCACTGTGGAAACAGACTAAGTGAGCTAAACAATAGTTTATTAAACAAAACCCCTCATACATCACAAGCTAAATCCTGATTTCAATGGAACAGAAAACTCACCTAATAAAACCAACCCAACAGGTTATATTCTAAGAAACACAATCAAAGGGAAAAGATCAGCCTAAGGTAAACAAAATGACTTGTCCAACAACAGCATCGAGCAGCGGGCCAATATCAACCGACTAGAAGCTACTTAAAGAGAACTCAACTCACCCAAGAGATTTCTACAACCATCAGGAAACATTAGATTTACTAAGGGAACAAACATAGGACTAATGTGCAAGGATACAATACTGCCAGTGTTTGTTTAGACATTTCTGTGCCTGCATTTAGTTTACAGCACAGCCATCACCAGTCAAGAGCTATCTGACTTTCAAAAGGTGCTACAGAACCCATTATAGAGAAAAGAACCACCTGTTTGCAATTCTAAAAAGCTTCATTTCCTCTTGTGTAGGCAGAGTGAAGTGTATGATAGTCCTAGGGAATATTCAAAAGCTGCAGGCAGAGACAGAAAAGCAGGATATACTAAATACCTAGTAGACTCCAGGTGATGAAGAAATTCACTAAAAGAAAAGATTATATAAACCTTTTAAATTGACTTGTTTCTAATGAAATGACACACTAAATATGATTTCGAATATAAACTCTCTGGTACAAGGTTATATTTCTACAACACATTAATGCTGAACAGTAGCTGCAGAGTCTTGCAAGTCAGACTAACACAGTGAGATCATACACCATTGTCTATTTGCAGCAAAGGCTGGGGCTATAAATGGCTCACTTGTTGAATTGCAGAACTCATAATATAGGTTAGAGTATTACAGCTCTGTATATATGAGTTGAAAAATGTCCACTAGATTTCCACAGCATGCAAACGATGAGACAAAGTTCCAACAAAACACATTGTATTACGAGAAGTGACTGGGCATAGGCCCCTCTAAAAACACAGTTGAAGTATTGAAAGATATGGTGAATGAAGACAGATGATGAGTGAGAAAATGACAAAAAAAAAGAAAAAAAAGAAAAAAACAAACAGACAAAGCAGTGCTTGTATTGATCTGATACAAAGGCTTTGAACAGCCCCATGAAATGTTCGTACTATATGTGAAAGGTCAACAATTTGATTTAGGTTGCCTGAAAATCTAAAGTCACACAGGCAGCCTCTTATTGTTAAGATCTGTGTTTGACTCAGATGGCAAATTATCTGTGACTGTTATATACAGTTGGACTATGTGTTGTTTTATTACCATGTGATAGTGTTTTACATATGATATTTTAAGTGGCTGGTGCTACTGTTACCCTGGACAGTTGTGGTAGTAATGTGCAAATGGCATGTATTGTGAATACTGGATGTTACCTGGAATATCTGTCTTGATTGTCTTGCTACCTCCTGAAGTGTCATCATCCTCGTCCTCAGAGGTGCTGGTGCTGGAGTCACATGTGAGCTCGCTGTCACTTGTACTGCTGTCCTGCAGCAGGTTATACTTCTTCCGTGCTGCCGCCTCTCGTTTTTGTCTCAGCAAGCGCATACGCTCCTTGTGTTTCTGGCTACGATGACCTTTCACTTTCCCCAGCTTGCCATTGGTTTGTTTTTCCTGCCCTCCTGCTGCTACCACAGTGGGCTGGCAGCGATTTTTCTTTGCAGCCATTGCATTGGGAGGCATCTCGCTCTCTGAACGTGACCGCCGAGACTTTCTCCCCCCTGTCGCCGTGGCAGATGTTTGCTTTCCGGCTGCCTGCCCAGGATCATTTACGGCTTCCATGTTGCCCTCTTCCTCTCCTCCTGCAGGAGGAGCAGCACCTTCTTCCCCTGAGGAGAGTGTGTCTGAGTCAGCGAGGTGGCCACTGGATGAGGGGGAGAGCATGCAGGGGTTTGAGGAGTCACTCTCATAGATATGTCGAGACACAGGCTTGTCACTCCCTGTAGAGGCATGCTGGGACTCTGGGGAGTCTCGGCGGAGCTCTTTCATCAGGCATGGCATGGAGAGGAGACTCTGCTCACCCTCTGTATTCAAGGGGCTGTCTGCCTCCTTTTCCCTTGGTGGTGAGCTGGTACTGGTGGTGGTCTCCGTTTTCAGATGCTCATCCTGCTCTCCCTGAAGAGAAGCCGTGGCTGATTGTGCTTCATCAAGGCACTCCGGGGGGCACTCAGCATCCCCAAATTCCTCTGCCTTCTCTGAATCAGCCATCTTCATGCTAGTTGAGCCCAGAGCCCAAAGGTCCATCAAACATGGACCAATGTGCCTGGACAGGAGCTCACCTGCTGGAAGAAAAACATATCAATAATTTAAAATCAGGTTCTAAATATTTGCAACATGATAGATGTTAGAGAATGGGGCATAATAGCTTTTTTTTTTTTTTTTTTTAACTAGACAAACTTTCAGTGCAATAAGTAATTGGTTTCACACTGGCTTTCTGCATCTGAGGTGAGTACTTCAAACACCATGTGTGTAATAGATAACTGCAAATTATAGACATTAATTTAAAGTTGGTATCAAATACAAGATCTTTACCAAGGTCTCATTTGGGATTATTAACTTCTAGTCATAGTGCAGTGCCTGTTCAAAATATGTCTGCCAGTAGCCTGATGGGAGCAATGGGATCCATTTACAAACTCACAAAGCAACGTTCTGTGATGTCGCTCATGACTGACTTAACTGTTCAGAGTGATGGCTGTATGTCATGGTGTGAATATACCTTGCAATATATGACTATTTTTCTATGCTGGTAGAAAACGTCTTATGCCGCTAGCTAAGGCTAGCTCTAATATAATCTTTGGATACATCACCAAGCCTATATGAGATTACTTAACTGTCATTTCAAAAGCAGCATACATATTCCAACAACAGAATGGACGAGAGAAAATTACTTTAATTTATTTAGGTTGGTATGTTGGGCTAACATTGTCAATAGGGAGAAAAACATATATATACACATCTATGGTAGTAACGGTCATAAAACTGGCTCACTGGCATTAGATTTGCATATGGATCAGGGGGCGGTACCGGCGTGACAGTGGCCTACCACTGAGGAAACAGTATGTACCGGCGGAACGCAAGCGACGTACCAACTGCCACTTTTCGATATCAGCGCCACTGCAAGTTTGAAGTCGATCGGATGAGCGGTTATCGAGGAAATCGAAGGAAAGACAGAAAGAAAGGCAGATAGACGGACAAAGAGACAGATATCCCTATTTATTAGTACAGTAACCATAGAGCCCCAAAAATGAAATATTTCGATTTAAATAGTATATCTCCACTTAAACTATATTCATATAGATACACCGTTTTGTCTTGTTGTTTTTCTAGCCTTACAAACAGCGATTTTCAACTTGGGCATTTTCTACCGAGTTAACATGTTGCATAACTGTTGACTTTTCACATAACAAAAACAACATATATTCCCATGCAATATTGGCCAGAAATGTCCATTTATCAGTGTTGATGGTGAACAATTAACGCTAGCTAGCTTGTAAACGGAATTAATGTTACTCTTACTTTGAATTTGAATCTTCTTTTACACCTCACATAGCCTAATGATTTCATTAATGTCTGTTAAACCTTTTCAGCCATATTGAACTTGGTGTGTGCACACTCAGACATTTATTTGTGCCTAAATGAATGACTTTAGTTAGTTGGGTCTATGGCTAACTGAGGCTAACACAGGCTCGGATCCAGACACTACTTTTAGCTGCGTAGTGAAGCTAACCTCGGTCATAACCTTACACTCCCGAAACTCAGCGAGAAGAATACGACAAGTCATGGAAAAATAATCATGTTACAGGACAGCTGCCTAGCAAGATCCTATAAATGGAAGCAGTATCTGTCCAGCCAGAGGCGTAACAGGCAGGATAATGTCAGCAGCTAACAGCTAACGTTATCTCAGCAACTTAGCTTAAAACGGGTGCGCTAACTTACCGCGGCGTTAGTTATAATCTTCTTTTCCCAGTGTCAGACTTTTCGACATCTTCGGTAATTTGTAGCCTCTTAGATTTACGATGCATAAACAATGCCCTGCAAAATAGACTTCACTTCTTTAAAACTTGGAAGAATTTAAACGTGTTTTGGCGCAGTGCGCTCGCACCTTTGCGAGCCCTGTTAGCCGTTAGCGGCTAGCTGTGTGTTTATTTTAAAATGTCTCCATCAGCCGTTCACAAAGCTACGTGCGCAATTTCCGGCCTGTTCTCTGTGGCCGAGCGCCCCTGTGGTCAGATATTAATACTGCAAGGTGAGAAAATACCGCAAGACAAGCAGGGACAGCGAGGGATGGAGCAACCAGTACCCTAACAAATGGTCCATGCATGGCCGGATTAACCTCCTAGGGGACCCCGGGGTAAAAATTTGTTCATGGACCCCCACTGAACATTGGCAATTTAATTATTTCCACAGACACAGAAACCAACCAGTAGGTTACTCTAGATCTGAAAGGAGTAGCCTATAGCCAATTCATTATTGTTGAAAATTAATGTATGCTAAATTTCATTCACCAGCTTCTCAGATATGAATATATGTTAGTTTAGGTTTCTATGAGAGTAAACTCAACATCTTTGGGTTTTTGACATAGCAGCAATGGGCTTTGGGGAATTGTAACACAATTTTTTTTTACATTTTAGACGCTAAGCATTCAACTATTATGGATTATTACTGATAAATTAACATGTTATTAATTACATATTAATACATCAGGGTGTGAGCACATGCCAATTTGTTTTGGATGGTCCTTGCTGTTCTGCTTTGTAACACTACCTAAATTTCACATAATTTTACTGCATTGAATGACTGCTGCTACTGGCACTTTGTCTTGTACAAACAAAATAAACCAACAGCCCAATGACAGTAGATTAGGCGTACAAATAAACAGGTGTTTCAGTTCTTTTAGGGCATATCAGGTGTTTTGACTGTCTCACCTTTCTTCAAATTGTGTTACCAACTCAAGTATACTATATTCTTTAACTCATGTTATCAATGCCAGAAATCATGTGTTACCTTAGACATTTTTCCCATAACATGTTATTTCATGATCAATCTTACAAATTGTGCTGTATATAAGATTTTCTGATATATTTCCTTGATATCATGCATATACTGTATGTTTTGGATCACTTTGTGTCTGCATTGTGCAATGGGTACATACACTGCCATCTAGTGGGTGGACAATACAGACTATTCAAGATTGTGTAACACAATGATGCAGATTGGTTGAAATTACTATAAAACGTTTTTTTTTTCTTAAGAAATAAACCTAACTTCATTAGAGCAATACACTTCAATAAATGGAAAAAAATTTAAAATTATAAAATGAAAGCAAATAGATACGTACATCGTTTACATCCCTGCTCAATTCAGAATATAAATATAAATAGCTAGATCTTGGTGCTTTTGCCATAAATCATAACTGTCAAGCATAATCTCAAGCACAGTGAAATCTCAGCCAATGCCTATATTTATAGTTACATTTTTTTAGTCTAACGCTTAAATCTGGAGTAATGATAGCATACATTCATTTAAGATACCTTTATTAGAAACATGTCTCTTTGATTCAATCTACTGGAGTCCAAGCTAGATCTTGATCATAATGTGCAGTCATGTTATATCAAAGACCAGATAAGCTATAATTATAAATGACTAAAATTAAATAAAATATCTTAACAAATAGGTTATATTAAATAAAGATTTTTCCCCTCATTTATTTAGTGGGGTATATTTATTAGATGTTTAATCATCGGATGTCTGATTAATATATTTCACTTATTTATTTATTTCATTGTCAATTATAAATAGAGATATGACATAGCCGATTTTAAAAAGGAAACGAAACGAGAAAAAAAGAGGTATTTTATTTTGAAGTATTTCCGGGTCACGGTGACCTTTCTACAAATCGGCTTCCGCGTCCGCCATCCTTCTCTCTCCGCTCCGGGAGTAGGACAGACCCCCAGAATACCAACATGCTGTCAGTTCGCGTCGCAGCGGCTCTTGCCCGCACCCTACCTCGACGGGCTGGATTTGTAAGCATCTTTAACTTCTTTATCTTTCGATTTGTGTCGAGTTCAGTCGAAAAAAATCCGAATTTATTCACACGAAAGCTTATGGCGGTGTTGTGCATTCATACGTCTTTGCACGTAGGACACCGGGCCCTTCACGTTGCTAGTCCCGCACTGTTAACATTTTTAGATGACAGACAGCAACAAGCCGCCTTCAAGATCGTGCAGCACATTATGAAGGGTGACTCTACGATAAAACCAATCTCTGGTCCGTCGTCAATGGACGTGACTAAGATAAAGCGCAGTAAAATAATTTGGTGAAGGTCAGGTTTGCCTCACTCCGCATGCCGGCTTTCACTGCAAATGCGTTTGCCAGACTTAGCTTTGCATTATAGGTCATTTCACTGCTGTTTGTAATATGGGTTGAAATTAAGAGAGATACTCTACTATTCTGTCTATAATGTATTATTGCTAAGGACTCTCCCGTGACACAGCAGATTGCACGGCCAGAGGCCTTTAACAAATGTTTTCATTTACCCAGTTGCCAGTTTATTAGGTACAGCTACCTAAAGCTAATGCAGTCTAATACAACGGGCCTACAATAAGTACTATCCTCATGGAGATTATAATGTTTTATTGAATGTGTAAAACTGTATGGTCATTTGTGATGTTGTAGATAGTTATGATAGTGGTAAAATGATAATGAAGGGCCATCAGGAGATGTTATACATCTATAAACTAAAAGGGGGATTATTGTGAGAGTGGATTGTGCCGCCAGAGGCCGTTTAATCTTTTTGTTTGTTTTGGAGTTTAAGTCAGCATCATCTGATCCATTGCAAACACTGTCATTACTGCTAGCTGCAAAGGCTAGGAAGGTCATTGTCTCTTAATAAGCAAGTGTCATTTTTAGCAATAACTTTTAATAACAAATCACTTTTAGTTGTTTAATCCATCTATCCATTTTATGCTGCTTGTGCACGACATATCAATATAGTTGTATCGTTAAGAACTGTAGTAATTAAACTGGTAAGTATTGAAAAAATACCATACATACCATAGTTCAAATCATACCTACTAGTTTTCAAGTTACATATATCCTTGCTCAACACAAGAAAAAAAAGCAAGATGTTATTTTGCATGAAAAGATGAAAGAATAGAAAGTAACATCAAAATATACAACTATAACTAAGAAAAAGTTTTGGTTCACATCGTAGAGATTAAGCAAAGATATGTCATTTCTGGCCACCATCTTTTGTTTGTTATTGGACATGTAGTTGCAAATTGGGAAATAGGTTAAAAATCTTTTTTAGTGTGCACCAAACAGATAATTTTTTCATCCAGGTGGCTAGAAGATGCCTTAAAACAGCTTATAAGTTTTATTAGGGATGTTTTATTAGACTGAATCAGTGTTGGCTGGACATACCCAATAAAGTGTATAACTGTATGTGTTGAATTCTGATCACTTGAACAAGCTGCACTTATTTGGACTGGATAAAAGCCATTCCTTTACTTCTTTCCTTTGTCATAAAGGTATCCAAGAACGTTGCTGCTGCCTGTGTAGGAGCCAAGAATCTACACACCACCAGACCATGGCTGCAGAAAACAGGTCAGTATTTCAGGAAACTTTTATTGGTCTACTGCTAAAGAAAATAAATTAATTTGTAACATTATTACCCAACAAGGTTTCCAAATATGTTCGGTTAAGACTCATCTGTCATTTAAAGATTTTTCTTAGCGGAGCTTAGCTCAGTGAACGTTTTACATCCATTAAAGGCACAGCCGAGGTCTCATCCATCCTGGAGGAGAAGATCATGGGAGCTGACACCAGTGCTGATTTGGAAGAGACTGGTCGCGTGCTGTCCATCGGTGATGGTATTGCCAGAGTGTACGGTCTTAGGAACGTACAGGCTGAGGAGATGGTGGAGTTCTCCTCTGGTCTGAAGGTATGTCTGATGATGTTATCCTTCGATAGTGACCTCTGCACAGAAGAATCTGCTCATTTTCCCCTCTATGGGTAAAAAAAAGAGAGAAAAAAGTAATTTATCAATATCAAACTCAGTGTATGCTGATTTATTAAATGGAGGTTGTTAGATACCATTGACATGTTATCAGTACCTTGGCTGTTTAAAAGGGAAAGTGATGGTAACTGTTGTTCTCTTCTCCAGGGCATGTCTCTGAACTTGGAGCCTGACAACGTTGGTGTTGTGGTGTTTGGTAATGACAAGTTGATCAAGGAGGGCGACATTGTCAAGAGAACAGGTGCTATTGTAGATGTTCCTGTTGGTGAAGAGCTCCTGGGCCGTGTTGTCGATGCTCTGGGAAATGCCATCGATGGAAAGGTAATGACATAATTAATTTTTAAGCTTGTTCATCTTTCAGTGTTTCTCATGTAACAATATTTTTCATTATCATTCTGCTGATTTATATTCTCAATCAGATAATTGCTCATCTATAAAATGTAAGAAAAAAAGTAAAAAAAAAAAAAAATGTTATAGTGTTTCCAAGTCCAAGATGGCATCTTCAAATGGCTTTTTTCATCCCACCAACAGACCAAACTCATGTGATCGTAAACATATTCAGTTTACGATCACATATTACAAAGAGAAGAGTTAAATCTCACATTTGAGATAACTAAATAAAGAGAAAGTTTGGTGTATTTGCTTGAAAAATAACTAAAATGATTAATTGATTATCAGAGTAGTTGCTGATTGGTTTTCTGTCAAGCTACTTAACTTATCAGTTAAGCAACAAATGGTTTCAACTCTAATGGACAGGGAGTTCTGGCACCATTCCTTAGAATAGTGTCTTAGCCACATATAAGAGATTAGTTGATAGCACTCAATCACTTTTTCTTTAACTGTTTTCTTCACAGGGCCCCCTTGGCTCCTCAATCCGCAGGCGTGTGGGTCTGAAGGCCCCTGGTATCATCCCCCGTATCTCTGTGAGGGAGCCCATGCAGACCGGCATCAAAGCCGTGGACAGTCTGGTCCCCATCGGTCGTGGACAGCGTGAGCTCATCATCGGGGACAGGCAGACTGGGTAAGAGGATTCTGCTTAAAGTGAACACTTGAGCACATGGTGGCATTTGGTTCACGAATGTGAATATACATTGAGAATGTTAGGTATTAATTATA